TACATTCCAACAGATGGATGCCAAAAATTTAGGAAAATTTACAGTGTGTCTTAATGTAGTATATATAACATACTGTATTATTGAGCTAGGAGGTAGAAGAGAGAAGACTATCGCCCCATTTTCTGCAGCTACTTTCCTCACTAACAACAGAAAGTACTTAATTCTTAAGCTCTAATGGTGAGAGTTCTCCAATGGAGCATTATTTTTTCCTCTCCCAGGCCAACTATACTGCAGCTGCCTAATGCTAAGTCCCCCCTGATTAATATAATGGTAGCTAAATAGTGCAGAAATAGCGAGAAGCCACCAATTCTTCTCCTGATAACACTGCCTTCCCAATGTCTGTGGTAATCAGCAGCATGCTGTCCAACATATAAAAGTCTCTAAATTAAACAAGCATTTCAGTTTTCCTTTCTGGCTGCTAACTTTCCTTTTTTTTTTTCCCCAAATCCAACAATTTCAGTGCTAGACTTTCAGAACTGCCTGTTATTTGCATATCTGAAAAACAACATGATCTAAAGAATGATAATATATCATGAATATATAGATGGATCTAGAAAAGACATTTTGGTTTAGAGAAGAGCCAAGAAATTCATGATATTTGCAATATGTAAGGTAGCACTAAGTTTAGAGACACTATTCAAATTTAATGCTATGCAGACACTTTTCTGGATCAGGATCTCTAACTCAAAATGTTGCAATGTCAGACTAAAGCCTTAATTTCCTTAAATTCGAAAAATGTCTGTAAACATTTTGCACCAAAAACCATAACTTTGAATTTCCTGATCTTTAGGCTTACTATGTATCACGTGAAATGCAGCAGAATTTTTGTTTATTTCTTCAAAAAGGAATGGGCGAAACAACCATGGTTCCAATCTCAGCAGCTTAAGTTTGCTGGTTTTGTCTCCACCATCTCCAATTTGTCTACATCTAAACAAATAGGCAAATTGGAGACGACGCAAAGAAAGAGCCACAAAAATTATATAGAGGTTTAGAAAACATGACCTAGGAGGAAATACTAAGAGGACTGAATTTATTTAAGTTAGAGAAGACTGAAAAGAGATACGCTAAGAGGTTGCAAGTACAGAGAGAACAGGTTGGTTAATTGCTCTTCATGTCAAATAAGGATACAAAAACATTACGGGCTATTTTGCAGCATGGAAGATGTGGAAAAACTTTCTGTCAGCTTGCTGATGTAGATCAGAAGTCTGTCTTACTGGAGATTTTTAGAAATGGAGTAGAGAAGTGTTTTTCAGGGATATTCTGGGTTTTGCTTCTGAGGAGAGCTAGATTAAGAGACTGCTGAGAAGCCCCAGCCCAACAATTCTGTGATTTCCCAATCACTGTCCACAGTCCCGGGAAGGAATTCATTAATCTCTACATATTCTTTCACCAGGATGTCTATTAGCAAGCTTTTCCATTTCCTCTTAGGAGGAGACAAGTACTCCTTTCTTCTCAAGGAACAAGTGTTTTTGTCCCCATCACAGCTCATTTCTGAACATAGCAAAAAAAAAATAAAAAGCCTAAAAAGGATTGTACTTTCTAATTTTACTAACTCACTGCTATAATATTTAATGTTTTAAAATAAAATGCCTTCAGTATTGTAGAAAAAAATAGGAATTTGCTTGTCAACTGTAAACCTCTAGTGTTTTACAAATCCTTTTGAATTAAATTTGGCAGTACAGTGCTGAAACAAGTATAGTTGCACCCTTTTTCAGGATGTCAAGTGTATAGCTGAAGTGATTGGGGTCAGAGTGGAGATAAAATGTTAGAGAGAGTCCAGGTGTTCCTGTAAAGTAGAAAGTGTCTCTCTTATTATTTTTTTTTTTTTAATTTTATCTGAGAAGAAGACGGTGGCCTTTAAAATCCTTACAGTTACTAAGAGTAGTTTTTTGCATCATGTATCATGGAAAAAGTCAAGCCCTCATCTGCACAGTAAATGTTAGCAGTTAGGTTAATTGTGAGGATATAGGGCATCTTTCAAGGTTTATAAGACAGCTATACTCTTGGAAATACTGTTTTCAAAACACTTTAATGCTACCTCTTTGAAAGCAGCCTTTGGCTGCAGAGTTCTACTACTTAACAGGTTTAACATTACTAAAAATTGAGATGCTGATGCCATTATTAAATTTCATTCTGCACACAAGCAAACAGTTTATCATAGTCTGTTCCCAGCAATTGTAATCCAATTTTTGTTATCTCACATTGTTTAAAAGAGAGAGAGAGAGAGAAAGATACTGTACATCAATCTGATAAAAATGTTTAAATAACTGGTGCTTTTTTGTGATTATGTCAGTTTTATAGCAGCATTATGGAAACACGACAGGGTAACTAAAATCTGATTATGTCTAAGTCCTTGCCCATTATGTGATTATTATGAACCATGACTTCTCCTGGCACATTATGAATTACATGGTCATAATACAAGGGATTTCCAATATAATTAACTGAGATTAGCAGCACTAGAGAAATCTGGGAATAATGATACAACTTTGAACAATCAGTTTTACTGTAAATGCTGCTAGCTCTGGCTTCCAGGAAACAGGAGGCTGGTGGATGTGACCGTGACCTACCTGCTGGGGTTTCCCACACCTCCTTTCTCTTCCCTCCCCCCATAAAATTAATTGGAACCTTGCTACAGTGTTAGGAACTCCCTCTTTTTTTCTTCTCATATTATACTGGTAAAATTCAAGGCTGGCTAAGATTTTCAACAACGTCAAAGGTCTTTAGATACCTCCTTTGAGGGGCTCAGCCTGAAACTGGAAAGGGCTTTTGAATACATAGAAACAACTACTTACTGAAGAACAGATCCGTTGAAGGCAGCTCAAGTTTGAGCTCTTAAAGGCAGAAACTAATGAAAATCACCGATTAGTTTCAAGGATCATAGCCAAGGTCGTATTATTTCTTAGAGTATCTCAGACAGGCAAGAAGTCTTTCTTACTACAAAAAAACAGCTTTTGGACTTAGCTGCTGAAGAGAAAGCCATCTGTGTCCAGAGGGGATTGCTCACTACTGGACCTGTCCTTTCTCATGCAGAAAGAAAAGGATTTCTGCAGAGATCCAGTGGCCATCTTCTGGCTTTAGACAAAAAAGGGAAACCGAGTGCGTGATGGAAATGCTGTATAGGGAAAAAAACAGACTAAAATAGACCTTTTGTTTAACTGAAGAATTAAACATTTCACCTAGTAGTGCATGGACAGCTGGGGTAGAGTGGGAACTCTTCTGATTATTGAGGTATCATTTCTCCCTGATAGAGCTGGGATTAAAAAGAGCCTATTTTTTTTACTCTATGGGACTAAAATTTCCTCCGTACATAAACACAGTTGAAGACTTAGAGAAAAATACAAAATCACCTGAGATGTTTTGATTCAGTCTAGTGCCCCTCTACTTCTATGATTTATTTATAGCTCTTAATTTTCAGATTTCACACGAAATTGCATCTCAGGATTTTTATGAAACCATATACATCCCAGGTTTGTGCTCCTTGTTCACTTTGATATTATTACTCCCAGTTAGTACAATGACAGCCTTTCATTTACTTTGCTATGGTGATTGTACTTTAACCCCATACCTCCAGTGCCATTGAGAACTGCTCTGCTGCTTCTGTGTAGTTCTCCTGCCTGTAGGAAGAGCTGGCTTCCTGGAGGGTCATCTGAAGCTGTTTGTCAATGTGGGGCAAAGCGCTGCCTTTCGTTGCGCTCACAGCATCTGCTTTTTCAGAATCACGACACGCTGATTGGGTGCTTGTAGACACCACAGGCTCAGCAAACTCAAAGGGAATGTCCTCCTCATCAGTGTAAACCAACTCCATTTCTATGTCCGTTAGTTTTTCCAGAGGAATACAAGACAGAGGTGTCGGGATTAACTGTTTGCCAGTCTCTAATGTGGTTTCTTCTTTTTCCACATCTAGGCTTTCATAGTTTTCTGATTTCTGTTCATGGCATGCTCTGTCTACATCGTTACTTTGTTTTTCCTTCTTTTTCTCTGCTGTTTTTACTCTCTCCATTATGTTTTTTGCTGCTCCATCCCCAAGGTGGTTTTTGACCTCTTGCAGTGCTTTTGGAATATCATTCCATTTGTTTGCTGCTACGTTTGACTCCTTACTACTACACATTTGCTGAGAGGTTTCATTCTTGCCATCCATGCTTATGAGATATTTTTGGAAGGCAGTGTTGTATTCTGATGCCACAACTTGAGCAAAGAAAGAGTCCTAGGAGAAAATGTAGAAAAGTTAAGAATGCTCAAACACTGCAAAGCCAAGAAAAGCATGCAAATGCTTTCTCCACTAGGCATATTGTAGGCACCGTTATGAGAGAAAACTCTTCAATAGTTAGTACACAGAATATCAGGCTCGCTGTAATTACTTTCTCTTTCCTGTGTAAAAGTTTAAGGCCCCTCAAATATTTTTAATAGCTCTTGATAGCAGATGTTTGTTTATGTAAAGTAATACCAGCGTACCAGTTTGTTACATCTGCAACAAGAAGGGAAAATCTGGCTTTTAATCAAAAGGAAAACAACCAAAAGCCTGTGACTGATTGACTTGCGTTGTGTGTTGTTACAGGGTGCAAAAAATCACTGTGGCCTGATTTGAGAGCTGTTATGCACAGTGACCGAGGTCAGAAAGGGATGTTCAAAAATCAGGCAGAGTGAATGTATTCCAGAGGGGCATGAGCTCCAAGTGCGGTGCCAGCTTCAGCTGCACTTGAGCAAAATTCAGATCTGGATTTGGGTTTCGAAGCCATTTCGTACTGAACTGTCTGCAAAGGACGCTGGAGTGTTGCTGCTAAAAACCAACCCTCCCCTAGTAGTTAACAGCCTACTAATTCTCAGCTCAGGGAACCAGTAGTGGATGCAAACTGGTACAACAAGGCGCAGATTCAAGTTCATAAACCTCTTCTCAACACCATTTCCTGTACAATAGGAAAGGTGACTTGATCTGCGTTGTAAACTCATAATTGTGCTCAGATTCAAAGGAAATGTTGATTTTTCATCTGCCTCTGCTGGCTTCAGAGTGAAAAGGTGGAAGGCACAGGTAATTATCTTGTCAGTTTTTCCATCAATTATGAAAAGTTTAATTGTAAATAGCTTTAATGATGATCATCTGTCAGAATGGTTTATTGAGCATAAGCACTCAGCCTTTCACCTTGTGTTACTGTTCAACAGACCTCTATATGTTTAGCACCAGTTTAATGTACTTAACTACAGCTTAAATACCTGGATGCTGTGGTGCGGTGAACTTTTATTGTTTAGGGCCATAGGCAGAAATTTATAGAAAGGGGTAAAGGGAAGAGGCGAAGGCATTTTAGGCCATATGAGAAGTTGATACTGAATTTTAGTGTCAATTAGGTTTCAAATCTTTGGCATGTTTTTCCCCTCTCCCCTGGCTAAGCCAGATTGCAGCCGGGACCGTCACCAGCCCTGAAGCAGGGAACTTGTTGATTTTGACATTTGCTCACAATCTCCAGGGTGAAAACTTTACTGTAGTAGAACTGCCTGTGGAGAAACTTAGTCCTCCTTCCATGACCGCAAGAGAAGGAGCGAGAGGTGAGGGGATAATTGTGTGATTGAAAGTAATTTCAGCAGACTTTTTTCACCAATGTGCTGAGCAATCACAACTCCTACTGAGTTCAATGGGGATGGAAAACCACTGGCCCTTCCCAGATAGTGCTCTGCACTTGTCAGAATAGAGCTCAAAGGAGTCATATTTATAGCAAGCTATTTTGAATGGCAGCAGTAAAGCAGCTGGAAAAGGCTAACGTACTTGCATCTGGCAGCAATTTTACCTGTTTGTAAGACATTCAATCCCTTTTTAAAACAAACCATATCATAGCCTAAAGATTGGAAGCTGTGTTGTTCAGTGCTGGCTTCAGCACTAGGTAATTTAGGAAATTATGATTTATCTTCACTGTGCAGCAGAGCAGAGATACTCCCAGCCAGCCCCAGCACCAGCTGAGCGGATGAGCCTGATAATCTTGGTGCTGTATCATGCCAACATAACTGTCACATATGGGACGTATATGGCCCCGCAGTACACGGCTGTACCATGTTCTGGAGGGGAAACACAGGACTTTCACAGCTTCTTGGGTGGGCGGTTCACTGAAGGTCCCATAGAACTCTAGAAAATGAGATTTAAATGTCTACATAAGATACAAGTTTGCCGGAATTTTCCTCTGAGCAGCCATATAGTACCAAGGAGCCCTCAAGGAGAATTAGTGGACTCTGCTCCTCACCAGAAAGGTAACAAAGGCAAAGCCCTATATCTGAAAAGGGGTTGATCTCATTGTGAATGGGAAATCAGCTGGACCAAACTGTTTGCCATGAGACTGTCTTAAGAATTTTAAAATAATTTAACATGGAATAAAAAAAAGCAGAGCACAAACTGTGAAATACAAACCAATAATTCTTTAATCACTTACAGACATTTCTTTGGTGGACCAGCACCTGAAATGAACTTTGCTGTATCAAGTGGATTTATACTGCTCCTGTTGTATTTTTAGGTATTCAAGCTGATTAACATGACTTTGGGTTGTGCAATGGAAGCACATTGTAACTCACGCAGGCTCACTTTAATCACTGCCTCAATAAAAAAGCACTTCCAGGGAAAATCTTTTAGAAAATCATTATCTTTGTCAGTTAAATATTTTCTTCAGACTTTGGTTAGAATGTCTGGTTTTTATTTTGGAAGCGTTTACTGTGAAATGCTTCTAATGAATCACTATGCAGGGGAATATAGATAGAAAATTTAGCGCTATAGTCGGAGGGAAACTAAATTTGTGAGCTCTGAGGAATGATCTTCCTGATCAGTCATAAGCGAGTTCAGCTTTCTGCATATTTGAGGGTTAATCTTTACTAAGAGATGACTATCCATGGCACTACCAGCTACTACAGCTAAGTATTTTGTTGGGTTTATCAGCAAGGAAACGACATATCTTCAAATGGAGAGGCTTACATGAAAAAAAAAAAATCAATGCAAAAGGAACATAAGATCATTTGTGTTTTAAAACCTTCTGGTTTTGCCCGTTGATTTCCCAATATATTTAAGAAAATCACCTTGGGGAGAGTGGCCTGCGTATTAGAAAATGTAAACTTCCTTACGTGCATAATCTTATGAACCCTATTACTTACACTTTTTTTCTGTATCTAGTTTGATTTTGCTTTCAACGCCTTCTCCTATTATCTCACATCAGATTAGAGAAGAACCTGCTGAGAAATCACACTGACATTTCAGCTGGCACCTAGTTGCTAAATTCTTTGCCAGTTCTTTGATGAGCCCTTTATTCTTCATAATTTAAACTTTGATTTCAACCAAAAAAGCTTTTGCCCTTACAGTTGTGAAGTAAAACCTTTCTAAACACCAAAGACTTCAGTGCTATCTTCCTGAATCTACATATAGCGAGGCAGAACCACTGGGCTACATCCAGCATTGATTTAAGTGGAGTGACAGGAGAGAGGAATTTCTTCTAGTAGTTCTCGGGGGGGATTAAGCTGCCTTGAAACTGGACCTCATTACCGTGCTGTTACCAGCTCTTTGAGACAAGAATTCTGGGGGGCTGCACTTCAGAAAAAAGATCTGTTTCCCAATTTCAGTAAAATCTTTCAGTAGACAGCACAAGTTGCTGTTTCTTAGGATCACGGTTGCCTTTTTTGACATAGGCTATAGAGGAAGAAGCAAATTCAAGGAGAGATTGGCCTGCTGGACCATAACCTTTGCATGGTTGGGAGGTCTAGAGGGATGGTACGGCAGCTAGGAAGCAGAAAGGGGACTCAGTGATTACATTCCTTACTCTGAAGCAGATTCCTTACACTGACCATTCGACAGCAGTCCAAGTGAACCCATGCTCTGACACCAAACATGCCTCGTTAGTGCCTTGCTAGAACTCAGAGACAAATTAGGCATTGGATCTGGAGACAGCAGTAATTCTCTCTCCCCTCACCCTATCAGAACTGGCGGAGATTTCTGTTGTCACTGCTCTGTTTTGTTTTCACTTCCTCTGCAGCATAAGGTACAAGCTGCCTTGTTCAGGATGGTCTGGCTGTACCTCATCTGCTGTCCCAGAAGCTCTAGTCATTAGTCGTCCATCTGTATTTTGTGCTCTCTGCTGTGGATCTCCAATGCTGCACGGTTTCTAGAGGATAACAGCACAACATTTTTCAGCCAGAGCATGACTGTATCTGCAACACACATGCATTTTGTGCAGATACCCCATCTGTCTTTCAGTGAGCTCACTTGCGTACCAGCAGCCATATAGTTGTCTTAGCCTGATACCCCACCATGGCTAATTCACCCTGCTAGAAGATACGTATAACAACAACTGCCGTATTGCTGTACTACTTAGACAGTGATGGGACTTTTCCAGAAAGTTATAGGAACTGAACTCTTTCATCTTTAATAGTTTTTTCTCCCAGAAGGCCATCTGAAATCACAGGGCAGTCATCTGCTACAGTTCATTTCAGTGCAAGTGTTGGAACAGGCAAAACTGCATCCAAAACTAAGCAGCAAGTATAAGAAAATTATACCACTGGTACTTGTTCAAGTGTTATCCCACTCCTTCACTGTCCTCTAGTACAGACAGAGAAATATAGTACTATAACAAAACACATCCAAAGCCTCACAACAGATAGGTCATTAGCTGCCCTCCTCTATAATAATTTCACTTATATTGAATTCCAGATATCCTGATCCATCTCTAAGGTGAGAATGCTCCAGTTTTATCACTTAAAAATGAAGCAAGATTTATCTATATTAGATTTACAGACAGACTTTCTGAATGAGCATGTGCACTGACAACAGCTATGCTGAGATCTGAACAGGAGATTTTTTCCAGTCCATCTTTCAGTGGGAGGACTTAAGCACTTCCTTTACTGCTGAATACCACAAAGGCTCAGACAATCTATTGATGACGAAGGTCAGCACCTTCTTAGCAGCCCATAAAGTGAGTCTCTCACAATCAGGTTTCAGACTTTTTAAGATTCTAGCCATTTCTTTAGGCAATGAAGCAACCTAGTTCTTTTATCTTGCTATTTTTATTGTTTGAAAGCCTGACTCACATCTGATCTTTTTTATTTTTAGTTTTCTTTTGGGGAAAAAACCACCCTTAATGTATCTTTTTTTGTTCAGCACTCTTATTTCTTTGTGATAGACATAAGTAATGGTTCATTCAGTGCAAATTCAGAACTCCTTACATTTTTCTTGCTGTGATAAGGGCACACTTGCCATTATTACAGCTGCATTGTCCACATTGCTGCAGTAAAGGTTTTGTCAGCACTTCCACTCCAAACACTATTTTCACTCACTATATTTAACCTGTTTATAAAACCAATAATAATAAATTGGGCTCTGGGCTGAAATTTGGTGAGGTTAATCGTGGCTTTTTCATTGTAGTTTGCAGGGATTTAACCATATTATCCTAATTGCTCTTTGAGGCTGAAACACATATTAATTGTTTATGTGGTGCTGAGTACAACAAAGCACTAATCTCATTAGGCTATAGACATAAGAGAAATACTAAAATGTATTAATAATTACTGTTCACAGCTATCAGATAGCTAGTTCACTAGGCACTCTTATGCAAAGACAGTAAGCTTAGGCTTACTGTTGTCAAAGTGACACAACTCCAATTCCTTCTATTACTCACAATAGCTTATGGAAGTTAACTGAAGTTGAAGGTAAATGTGACGGAAACAGAAGGTAAGAAACAAATCCTGGTAAAAATACTTAACATGTCTTCAAGGATAATGTGCAAAAAGAAATAGGAAATACAATTAAAATAATCAAGAGAAGTTTTCAGAAGGCATGTTAATAATGTGGTTGTTGCTGCCTTCTTGAACAGTGATTAAATGCAGAAAGGAAAGGATAGCATGAAGATCACTGTCAGGTGTCCAGGAATCTAGGAGTCTTCTACAAAATAGTTGGGCATTGATTGGACAAAAAAGGAAACCAGATAAATCGCTATTCCCACCAACTTTGCGCCGTCTTGAATAGTAATGGGATCTGCTTCCTCTCCCTCCTGAATCTTTTCCCTTCTTCACTCTAGTTTTTCCTGCTTGCCTTTCTTGCAGTAAGGGTATAGACAGCCATAGTCCTGTAGAGCTAGCTTGAGTGACTTGAGAGGGGGCCTCTCCCAGGGGGTCAGTGGTACCCTTCTCTTCTACCGCTGCAGCTCCTAGCGCATCTCTGTGCAAGTTAAAACAGCTTAGGGCAAACAGATTCGCAGAAGTACCTGGGATCTGAGCTAATCCATTTCATTAGGCACTGAAGCAGGCTGGAAATATATACTGTGAGCTAGGAGTACCCGATGTGTCAGCCATGGGAGAGGGGAGAAAGAGAGTGGGATGGGTAGAACAGGGAAATCTCTGCTCTTTCTGTCTTCTCCAGCAAAAGCCCGTCACATGTATTTATTTGGTTTGTTGGCTTAGCCAAGACTGCATGCTTTGGCACACAGCTGCCAATCTATAACCAGCATTAAGACAATTTTTTTTAAGCTTTAAGGCAGCATCTTAAAAGGTTATTGTACTCACTGAAATGGGTGAGCCAATCTTACAAGACAGCTAAAACAAAGCTCTTAATATTTTCCATTTCTTTGGGGCTTCTTCCCCTCCATGTATTCTTTAAAGTACTATTTTAAAACTTTATATTATTGAGTATCACAGCAAAAGTTAGCTGCCAACAATTTAACACAAAATTAGGCACCTCAATTAACTATTTATTGCTGCAGAGATGCACAAGGATCTTATTAAGGAGTAGTTTGATTAAAATCTGAGCTGTAAAAAGATAGTAGGCTAACAACTACTGTTATAATTCAAAATCAAGAAGGAACCAGAATCTGCCCAGCAGCATATCTCAGGACAGTGAGGCAACGCAAATACAGAAAAGAAGCATCAGTGATCACAACCCGGAAAAACGAAAAGGAAGATTCAGTACTTAATGAGGACTCGGGATATTTGGTTGATAACTAGTGTGACTAAGGAAAATCTGAGAGAAAGAAATTGAGGATGTTTTCTGCATATGTTTTTTGGGTACTGTGTAACTGTCTTCCTTACACTCCCTCCTAGTGAAACACTTCCTCTAAAAGTGTGGGAGAAAAATACTGAGAGAGAAAAGAGACAGCAGGGAAAGCATTTCAGCTCTGCGTAATGATGTCATCCTATTAGCACAAAGCCCCGCATTGTCAATTAGGAAAAAAAGGTCAGCGCTGTGTCTGACGGGGATGTGAAGCCTAGCCAGCCTTCCTCGATTGGATTCAGCAGCTCAGCACTGTTTCATTTTCATAGCTAAAGGGCCACTGAGAGGAAAGAGGGAGAGAAAACAGAAATTTTAAAATGGTAAAGGTTTCTACAGCAGGCTCCTGAAAAGTGGAGTTGTGAGAACAAATAATTCCTCTGTGTGAGGAACAAGGATGTATGTGTGTGCCTAAGGTATAAACAGAACAGTGAGTTTAGGGTAATCCCTAAATGAAAAGGAATGCAAAGATTGGTCCTACAACTGAGATGTTGTGCTGAAAAAGCTTGAGGTTTTTTTTTTTTTTGGTACTGCAATATTTCCTAATTCTGTTGGGAAGACAAGAAAGCAATTTTTGAAGAGATTACAAAGCAAACGTCCAAGTGTCCTACTTGCTCTCATTCCGAAGGAGATGAAGAACTATTGATTTTGTGAAAAGATTGCTTTGAAATGGTGGGAGCTGAGTACTTGTAAAGAACGAGTGCAGAGGGGCAAAGTTTGGTTTAGGAGGGTTGCTGCAGACTGTGCTGTGGGCTTGATTAGATCTGCCAACATGCTATTAAGAGGTCTGCATCTCAGAGCTGCTCTGGGCAGCCCTGCCTCCGGGATGAGGCAGAAATTCAATGAGAGCTTACAGTACAGGCAGAGCTCTCTTTCACTTCACAAAATAATCACATTCCTATGAGACCAGGTCCTAGGAAAGCCCAAGCCTAAAGGAGACATTAACAGACGTATAACGACTTCCATTATCTATTGTGCAGTACAGAAAACATATCAGCCATCAGATCCACAGCAAAGAAAGTGCCTGACACCTTGCACAGCACTTAGATCAAACACCTAGCAAGAGATATGTGGCTGAAGATACAGATCCTTTTCTTGCTCTTGCTATACCAGACAAACAGGTTACCATGATTGAACCCAACTCTAGTTGCTGGTCTCCACCCCAGGATGGATGTCCCCTTACAGTCCCCTCAGTTCTGCTCATTACCTCGTGTGAATCGAAAAGAGATGCGTTAGGTGAGAGCTACCATGTTAGTTGTTGGTATTTCTGTTCACTAAATGCAAAACTCCACTGCTACCTCTTGTGATGTTTTGTATAGTAAAAAGTTAGCTGCAACATCCAAGCTCCTAAGTAGGACCACTCCATTTGAACAAAGACAGTTTTGGTAATGATCCTTCCTTTCAGTTATGCTAACTATATGACTAGAATGAAGATGGGGTATATAGAAACTAGGCAAATCAGTGCTAGAGCTTTTTAAGTCAGTAATTTTATTGGACACTTGGTAAAAATTCTAGTATCTTTCTTTGATGCCTGATTCTTTGCTCTAGTAATAACACAAAAAAACTCCCCAAATCAAAGTCAGCCAAAAGGAGCAACAGGGAGAAAAAGGAAAGCATGAGAATGGGAAGAAGAAAAGGAAGTCAGCAAGTAGGGCTCTGAGAAATTAAGAAAAAGTTTAAAAAGGCCATCATATCAAGATGCAAAGTGAATTTTAGTGGCCTGAGGGCCTATCTTCCTTCTGAATGTCCTTCCATATTCCTCCGCTTCCCTGTAGGGGGAATCTCCCTAGATAGATGTCATCAACTGGAATTCCTTTTTCTCATCTTCTGTTGTTGTGTCTTTTATTTCTTTGGTGCTGTTGTTCTTTATGACTGTTGTATCTGATTTCCAATGTAAGAGCAATAAATGGAAGAAAAAGCATAAAAACAGTAGAGTACGATGCAAGATGAGGAAACAAGGGAGCAGACAGCAGGTGCTGGCAAGTCCCTCCCGCTCTTCTCCTAGTAATGATGCTCTTGCAGCTGGGGTCCGTGGAGACCACAGCCTAAATGAGAAATGGGAAATCTTAAAGACCTAGTCCAGATCTTCCACTGATATAAATTAAGACTGATCTGTCCCCAGAATTT